TGGTGTGACCTATGGATCAGTTGGTGAACGAGTGGTGTATTTGTGACCACAACTAGCGATCAATTCGTGACTCACTTCTCAACACAAATACAATTCATTTGTTTTCAAATCCTATGCAATGAATGCAAGCATTGAAAGCATTGCATAAGAAATACATTTGACTTCATTCAACGAAAACACCTTTCGTTCAATTGTTTGCCAAATGAGTCNCATTAATAAATATTCAGCAAATGCATTAATGCATTGCTTTTAGATTTAGCATTCTCATTTATTTGATGTGCTTATTCATAAAATGGGTTCCAAACGGAATATAATTTTAAGTTTAGTGTTAATTAAGTTATTATTTCTATTATTTGCCAATTTATCAAAATGTCAAAACATCACATCAATAAGGAGTGAAAACCAACTCCACTTTCCCGTAAGTTTTACCATTTTAATAAATATTACTTTTATAGATTAGTTAAACAAATATTTTGTAAAAATTGAGAAATAATTTGCATTTTGGAAAATTAATATACTGTATATTTTAGAATATTAAATAAATTTTAATTTTGTCAAAAATAAATAATTCTCAAATCACTGAATATAAAGAAAAGACTATATTAGCATTAATTAACACTAAATCCATATAACAATTGCAGAATCCATATAATTATGGAAAGGCACGAACTCTCGGATGCGATACAACAGTCACCAAAATGGAGGGCTGGATATTCTCACCTAATTTTCCACTCAATTATGATAATTATATTCAATGCGTTTATAATATCGTCAAATCCAGTAACGATGTGTGCAGTGTATGTCATATTAAAGTCATTGTTAATCATTAATTAATTGATAATTAAATCATTTCCAATTAATTGAATAGTAAATAAAATTCTAAGGTTAGGTCAAATGAATAGGCATTGAAAGCTTAGTTCACTTTTACTTTAAACCATTAAAATCTAATTTATTAAATACATATAAATTGAAATGGAGTTGAAAGTTGGATAATAATTAGTAACTAGATTATAATGCTTAATCCAGTGAGAATATAGGATAATATTAATAGTATTAGTGCTAATAAGACGGACGTGATCTGAGAGATCTCTGATTTCATAGATTGAAGTGATATTAAGTGACTTTGATGTGGAGGACACACCTGAATGCTCGGCTGATTACTTAGATTTAGGCGATGGAAGCGGACGTATGTGTGGAATATTGATTGCAAACACTAGAAGTCAGTGAGAGTTCACTTCATTTCCTGCAAATCACTTTCACAACTCTTTTTCAAAAGTTTTGCAAATATTTTGCTTTTAGAAATTATATGGTTTCCAACAAATGGCGATAACATTAAGATTGTATTCAAATCTAATCACATCAATAATCGCAAGGGATTTATGGCTAAAATCAGACAATTGAGAAATAGTTGCCCGCCTTATGTGATCAACAGAATACCAAATATAATGCAGAGTTCCGAACCTAAACCGGAAGTCTTTCACAGACAACCCGTTTATTTGGGCTCGTATTGTGACATTTATATCGGTGAAGTAATAGGAGATCTCAGATCACCCGGATATCCGTATGGGTATCACAATAACCAAAGTTGTCACTATTCAATCAGAAGGTATTCACTGAAATTAGGTTTACAAATCTATTGACAAAGACTTGTCATTTAGAGCCGCCTCTGATATCTGCAAAGTAGAGCTAATCTTCCATCAGTTCGACATCTCTTCAACCGACCGACGCTTTTGTGATTCAGACTTTGTTGAACTGCCCGACAGGACCAGACTTTGTGGCAAAATACCTCTTCAGCAAAGAGTTTATCCCTTTTCTCGTTCCAGTGATTATTTGATTTTGAAATTTATTTCCGATAATATAATTGATAAACAAGTGACAGGCTTTTGGATAGAAGTCAGACAATTGAGGAATTCCTGTGATTATAAAACTCCTCAAAATGGTATGAAAATCTTATTCTATAACATGAAATTGTTGAGTAAACTTATCAATCACATTTCAAAGCCATCAAATGTGACCAAACACTCAGCGGCCAAATAACGACACTTCACTCCACAAATTACCCACAATTTTACGGCCCTTCACAGCAATGCGTGTATTTAGTGGAGCCGTTGGATAAGAATACGTGTGAATATGAGATACAATTTCTTAACTTTAATATCGAGTCGTCCAGAGATTATTTGGGGAACTGTAACAAAGACTTCTTTCAATACCCCGATGGATCCAGAATTTGTGGTTTTTCTTCGGCCAAAAGTATTAAATACTAATTCATTTGCAGTTTTACTAATAAATGGCATTATTTTTCTCTTTTATACACTTTAAGGAACATTTATTTTTCCACAATTTCGCGACAGAATCGGAATGTTTTACTTCAGTAGTGGTAAGTCTTGACTGTCAACTGTCCCGGCTGACATTAAATATTTTACGGGTTTAAATAATATATTCATTATCGATATGTACTTAAATTTTTATTGAACTGTACTGTTGAGTCAAATTTATATATTAACTGTTTATAGATGATAATCACGAAGAAAGAGGTTATGAAATAAGAGTCAATCAAATACCCAATTCTTGTTTCAATAATCGCAACTATGGCTTCTCAACCAAACCCTCGTATATAACGTCAACTATAGCCCCATATTTGACCACTTCTTATCCGCACACAAACAACACATACTATAATTGCGACCAAATAATCAGTTCAGAAATCGATGTCATAACGAGTCCTAATTATCCGCACAATTATCCGACGACAACGCGATGTATCTATACTTTCCTCAAATCAATGCCAAACGTATGCCAAATAAAGATCAAGATAATAGACATGGATTTAGAGCACACCAGAGATTGTGTTTCTGATTATCTTCTCATTGAATCCACGGGACAAAGATTTTGCGGACAATTCATACAACCAGAAGATAAAAGTGAGTTTTGCTATAATTAGACAAATCTATTAAATATAAAACACTTTTTTGTTCATGTTCATTTTTAGTCATAAATTTTCCGAGTTTTTCACGAGAATTGCGTTTAATATTCAATTCCGATCGCCAGACAACTCGTCCGGGTTTCCGACTCCGAGCCGAACAGATCCTAAACTCCTGCACACATCCTGTCATTGACCACAGAATTGGTAATACAATTGTAGGCAAACCAATCGTAGAGCAAATACCGCTCGACCCGGTAGTGGTTAGTCAACCACGGGATCCGGTGGTCATCAAGAATCCGATAACACAGCCGCCAATCAATACAATCAAACCGTTGCCGCAGATATGTTCGTCTTCATCGACAATATTGTCCACATTTCAGAGCGATAACTATCCGCTGCCTTATAATGCATACACAAATTGTGTTTATAAAATATTTCGCGCCAGTCGTCACGTTTGTCGCCTTGAGATCACTTTCTTAGACTTTGATGTCGGCGTCGAGGACATGGATCACAAGTACTGTTCCAACGGTTACGTGGAATTCGATGCAATTAAATACTGCGGTCGACGTAAAGAGGAGAGAATAGTGGTTGACTTGCCGGCTGACAAACACGAGTTTAATATCCGGTTTCATACGGAGTCTTCCGTCCGTTACGGAGGCTTCAGGATTCAGGTGCGACAGATAGACGACAACTGCGGTCATCACAACTCTATTCAACACGAATTCAGTCCCGGATCTACTGAATCGTGTAGTAAAATGCAATTCAGCGAAAGATCGCTACAAATATTGAGTCCGCACTATGAGAGCGGTAGTTATCAACCATTTCTCGACTGCGAATATAATGTGCGAAAAGCCACTCATGATATCTGTGCCCTCGAAGTCAAATTCGATGCCTTCTCTCTCGAGGAATCCAAGAACTGCTATAAGGATTACTTGCAAATCGGATCAATGAGATTGTGCGGCAAATTGCCGTATGCGGCCACTCGTATGTCATATCAATATATAACTACAATATTTATATTATTTTCACATATCATTTATACCACTTTAGGGACCTATCAATTCACAAGTGATGAGATTCCCATCAAATTTCATACCGACGCTAATGGAAATGAGGCCGGATTTGTGATCATGGTTAAACAGATTCAGTGCTAAATTAATTTATAATTGTTTATACTTTATAGTTTATAATTTAAAATCATATAAAAGCACAAATAAAATGTTACCAAATGAAACTAAATTTACTTTAAGATATAGAATTGTCCTGAATTTAATTGCAGTCCAAAAATTATTGAATTCTTTAACAAAAATCAATAATTTAAAAATAAATAGTTTATTGAAAATAATTACCTGTTCTTACAAAACCAATTACTGGTAAATACAGAATTAAAAGATACAAATCATAACTGCAGTAATATTTACTAAAAAAATTAGGAGTCAAATAAGTAACTCATTGTTTATCAATTGTGTGACTTATTAATAATAAGTTATCATGGTGAATTTCAAACATGAAATAATAAATAATAAAACAAACATAATACCGGTAAAGTATAGAGTATAATAAGTTCTCATGGCATAATACAAATTATAAATAATTGGTACAATAAAAGGTAAATTAAGTAATTAAACAAAAAATGGACCAATACTTGGGTTCAAATAAAAACTCATTCCTTGTATGTATGAGTCAAACGCGGAGATTCTTAGGTGTTTCCCACGGGAAGGATTGTCGTCCGAAGTGTCCGTAAACACTGGTCTTCTCATAAATGGGTTTTTTGAGGTCAAGGTCTCTGATGATAATGCCGGGCCTGAGGTCGAAGTTGTCGTTCACTATTTGGACCAAATCTTTCTGACTCTTATTGGATGTGCCGAATGAGAACACAGTTATAGAGAGCGGTTCAGCGATTCCAATGGCATACGACACCTGAACACAGCATCAATCAGTCAAAGTGTCTTAAATGGGAGCCATTGCTCACCTGAACGAGACATCTCTTGCACAGTCCAGAAGCCACCAGTGATTTGGCGACATAACGGGCCGCATAGGCCGCAGATCTGTCCACTTTAGTGGGATCTTTGCCAGAGAAGGCGCCGCCTCCGTGTCCGCCCCAACCGCCATATGTGTCGACAATAATCTTTCTGCCGGTGAGTCCGGCGTCAGAGGCGGGTCCGCCCAACACGAATTTCCCGCACGGATTGATGTGCACTATTGTCTGCGAATCCATGTATTTGCTTGGAATCACTTCTTCGATCACTTTCTCCATCACTTGTTTCCTCAGTTCATCCAAAGAGATGTCTTCTGAATGTTGCGTCGACACCACAATCGTATGGATGCGTACGGGAATGGCAGCCCCTCTACGGAAATAGTATTGGGCGGTCACCTGAGTCTTGGAGTCAGGTCTGGCCCACGGAAAGGTGCCGTTTTTGCGCAATTCAGCCAATTTGGCGTTCAGTTTGTGGGCCAACACCACCGTCAGAGGCATACACTCCTCGGTCTCATCGGTGGCGTAACCAAACATCAGTCCCTGATCTCCGGCGCCGATCTCTTCCTCCCTCTTGTTCTGGTGAACTCCAGAAGCGATTTCAGGGCTTTGCTGTTCAATCGCTATCTCCACTCGACATGTCTTGTAATCAAATCCTGAGTATTATGTAAGTTATACAGTAAATACTGTATTAAAGTGCGAATCTGTGGTTACAGTATCTGTGTCTCAGTTGCCATCTCTGTATTGGAAACGAGTCTAAGCAAAGAAAAGTCACAATTAAGACAAAATTTTAAATACTACTTATTATTGTATTGATATATTAATATAATACTGTATATCTTAAACTCAATTATACAATTATTATTTCTACAGACATGAATTAGATGTGTAGCAAAAACTTTAGCATAGTTTGACCGTATCGGTAGAGTTTTTTCATGACCACTATGTGGGTACTGTATGTCTGTCCAAATGTTTAGTATTTATACTAGAATCTAATTAACATGTTTTTATTCAATTGTTTTTATGAAATAGTAATTATTTTTTAATCAAAATACAAAGCGATAAAAAGGATATATAAGAGGAATTGATTGCCAAAACGACAATTGCGTTGATTTCCGTTCACTGCAAACAAATTTATCTTTTTAAATGAAAAACAATTTTTTCAATTCTATTATTAGATTTTTAATTTTGTTGAATATAATTTAAACTTTATGTTTTATGTTTTATAATTCAATGAAGAGATCTTTGAACTCAAATTTCAAATTAAGTTTTTGATTTAATATGTGAAAAGCAAACAAACATAAATTTGAATTTTGCAAAAGTAATTATAAAAGTAGTTTATATTGTATAAAAATGTTCAATGAAAACATTTAAATAACCAAATAAAGTGAAAATAAAATCATTATTTTTTAATTAAATAAACTACTTGTCTGCAATGAATACATTGAATATTGACATAACAAAGAGTTTGTGTTTTATGCTTGTTTATTCTGTAATACCCATAATAATATTGATTACAGTTATGATATTCTGTGTCCACAAACGCAAGAAAACAAATTCAAAGCGATGTCCAGAAGTTGATAAAAACTCGTCACATCTGACCACTTATATAGAGATTACAGAACCGGAAGAATCTAATAAAATGGGAACTAATGTAGAGATGGAGTCTATGAACAGTTCCTCATTAAGTCTGAACTCGGCCTCCAAGCGATTCAATCAAATGACTTCTTTGAGAATGAAAGTCAATGATTGTATGATTCGGTCACCAAATCTCAATGATAGCCGACATATGATGGACAGTGATATATATGATGTGCCGCCCAACAGGATGTCCCCGAAGGCTATCACTGATAATGTTATCGTTAATAATAATATTATTATTAATCACACAAATGGAGAATTAAATAGTCATTTGAATGAAATGCAATCAAGTGATAGCATTAACCCTATCTATGATACACCTCAATAGATATTCACACTATTATAAATTATTGGTAAAAATTAACCTTTGATATTGTTTATTTTTAATTGTTACAGTAATATACTTAATTGTAACATATTTAATAATATACTATCTTTACTTTGAATCTGAATAGTTTGTTATTAGTTAAATAAAAAGTTTACTTCAATAATGCTTAATTGTAAAATTGTTTCATCTCCAGTAGAATATACTGTATGTTTATAAATATCAATATCTGAGGCAATATTTTAATGCTTTGCTAACTTATTTTATAAGACATATTGACAATTATCTTTTGTATAATATAAATATTTGCACTCAATCAGGTGACAAATATTCAGTGACTTATAGTAATAAGTTATTAGTACTTATAACTCAATTAATTATTATCGATTACTGCTATGTTTGGTATGTATTGGCAATGAGCATACGAAAGACAATTTAAAACATATAAGTCTAATATGGCATCAAATGCTTCATATGTTTTATTGATTTATAGCTCAATATTCTTTAGTGTTATTATTGTAATCAACATTTTATGGCATATTTGAGATCACTTAATAAGGCTTAAACCATAAAAGTGGTATTTTGGTCATAAAAGGATTGTCGTATAGTTG